GCCACCGGCACAGCCCCGGCAACAGCGCGCACCGGGAGCGCCGCTAAAGCTCGCCCAGGTCGCTTCTTTCGAGCTAAAAACTGGATCTAGAAGCAAATGCACAAGGACCCGCGGGCGCCTGATAGAGAAAAGAGCACAAGTTCGATAGTCAACTAAAAAAAAAACCATAAAAACATGCTTCTGCACTTCTGAAAGTGCTTAATCCACGGAACACACCCTTCGCTCGGCCCCGAGGGGTGCACAGGCCTAAGGACTAGCACTACAACCAAAATAAGAGTCGATTCCGGTAAGGCAATGAAATTGTGTAAGTACACAGACCCAGACTCATCTCCTAATAAAGAAAGAACAGTTCCCATTAGTCTTTCAATAACAAAACCACCGTCATGACTATGGCAGCATTTCTTATGCCTCGGAATTGGATGACATGTTTTTGTACTTTATTGTAGTTTTTATATAAAATTTTTTCATTCATGGACTTTTCATCTCAATTTGTGCCAATCACTTTATAAGTTCATTAGTTTAGAAATGATTGCAACAACCCGTTAATAAAATGGAACACCTAAAACGGTTTTTAGTATTTTAAATAACTTCAAGCTTCATACTGTGGCTCTTCTTGTTAAGGAGGTTGAGCCAACAAGTAGCAGGAACAGCCCAGCAAGTTCTGACGCCCCAGTGGAAGTGACTAGTTACAAGGTTTTATTGGCACAGCCTTGCTCTGCATAAAAACAAAAAAACAGAACAAAATAAAAAAGAAAAAAAACAAACAAAAAATTAAAATAATCTAAACAAAGAGCATCTTTTCCAATAAACAGTTCATATTCTCATACAGCCATGAAAAATGTTTAATGACTTAACATACATGTGTTTTTCCTATATCATTAATTTGGAAAATACTACAAATGCTGTCATTTTAGACCAGAAAAACTACTGTGATTTGCAAGACCTGACATTTCCTAAAACAGTATTAAACAATGTATTAAACTTCTTGGCTTTAAATGAAACAATACAATGCAAGTCTCTGCAGTCTGCATTTTGCAAAAAGTAAGAAATACACAGAAGTGTGTGAACAACTCACTCCTATTGTATGATCTTTAGTAAGTTGATAGCCTGCTGCAGGGAGAGTTTATGCTTTCAAATAAAAAAAGGGAGAAGGGAGGGCGTGGCCCAAATCTGCTTAATCCATAAGAACAAATATGGTAAAGGCCCAAACTGCTCAGTCCAGATGCCTAAGAAGAGCGGAATGGTAAGGCTGTAACTTATACTGTACGTGTCAGTTGACAGATTATCCACTAACTTATCTAATAGCTAAAGTCCTCAGTACAGCTGTTATAGGGGCACTCATAGCTTGAGTCTGTGTGTTGGAAAACATAAAAAAGAGCTTGTTTTGTTGACATTGGTCCAGGTATACAACAGTCCTCAGCGTTAGCCATCTTCTTTTGGAGGAGTGTACCAGCCTGTGGAGAACAGAGACATGTTAGGTACCAGCACTGCTGTGTCCAGAGCATCCTACTCTTCACCTGGGAGATGGAACCTGCCTCAGTCCTTCCCTCTTAAGGCAGGCCAGCTCAGCACGAGCTGAGCACACTTACTCAGTGCCCTAAATGTGAGTAAGTCAGCAGTGGGAGACAAACCATGTGGCACATTGCAGGATCTGCCCTGGTATTTGGGTGTGCACACACAGATTTCTGTGGCAGCAGCTATCCTGAGCGGGACAAGCTGAACACCAACAAGGGGAAGCTGCTGAAGGAGAACAGTTCTCTAACCAAACTTAACAGAAGAGAGGTAAAACCCCCAAAGTCTTCAAGCTGCTTAAAACACAGACATACAAACATGACTGCAGTGGGACACTTGTAAATCCCATTTTGTGTAGAGTTAGGCATGCACAAGCAACCAAACAGTTTATCCTACGTCTGCAAATCTTACCATAGGAATAAGCTCAGAAACGTCAGCTGAATAACTGGTCTCCTGACATAATTTGGCACGTTTAACAGCTGAATCATACCTGATCAGGTGTGCACTGCTTTTTCTAGAGACCTCCAATCTTAATTCTCTCAGCTCCTCTTGTAACACTTCCTTTAAATGTGTGTACAGTGACTACAAGGCCTATTTGTGCTGTCCCAGAGAGCATGTAGCAGCTCTAAGCTTAAGCCACCCTTCACAGCAGCACTGAGTACTGTGAATGCTTTGTGCTCAGCTCCTGAGGCAGCACTGATCACTTGTAGCACTAAGCAGCCACACTGGTTTTTGTAGCAAACAAAAGAGCAAAAGGCTCAGTGAATGGCAAGATCAAAATACTGTAAAACTGGAGATGATGTTGAAGTCATTATCTTTGATCTCCCTCCCAAGAGTACAGGTGTTCTGTTCTGTGTTAGCAGCAGGGAAACTGAGGTGCTCACTGCAGTCACACAAACACTTTCACAATAACCTCAGTTCCTGGAGCACACTGTGTCCAACCCAGAAGTGTAACTGCACCGACTCCCTCATCACAAGACCAGAGAACCAATTCTGCTGACTTCCTTTATGTAACACATAAGCTACTTAAACCTCCTAAAGCCTCAGGCTTCTCATACTGCCACAGTAAATTCAATTACACCTGAAGCACTTGTACACTTGTTTTATGCAGCAGAGAGACTTTAAAAAGAGTTTAAAAGCCCACAGGTGGGCAGGTGTTTCCCTATTCTATTGTACACTTTACTTTCCCAGCTAGTACACCTCACTTGGACTTCTTGTATTTTTTAGTCTCAGGTCTTCTTCCCTACTTTCTCTCTTCATTAATGATTATTTCCACTAGGTTCTTGGCACATTGAAACAAAATCTTTCAGGGAAAGGGATAAACTCCCAGCAAATACATTGCAATATTAAGAGTCCCTAAAGCTACAGTGAGGTTCCTAGATGAACTGGCTGAACATGAAATGCAGCTGCCTCTCAAAAGCAGCAGGAACACACACAGCATTCAAGTAAAATGGAAAAGTTGCAATGATCACAGTCACGTTATTTAAGCACTACTGTTTTTCTAGAGCAAGAAAAAAAGAAGGAAGAAACATTTGTGGTCTTCCCAAGCCAAAATAAGGCACTTTGTCACTTCAGGTTTCTCTGTGGCAAACACCAATTCCCAGGGTGCTGTGCAGACAAGAACAAAGAGGCAAGAACATACATACCATTTTTCTCATGTATTTGTACTAGTGACTTATAGGACTGCTGTGCTCTTGCTAGATTATATTGATTCTGAAAGGAGAAAAAAATAATATAAAAACCTGCATCTAGATATCAAGACTCAAAACCAGTTCTAACAAGGAAATTCCACAGCGGGCTTAAAAATAAAGTCCCTGCACAACGTTAGAACATTCCTGGCTTTCAAGGTTTTCTTCTTAGAGCCAGAAATTCCAAATTCTCCCAATTCTAATTGTCCTTCCCTCCCCTCCCTTGCCAGTACAAGGATGGCAAAAGCCTACCCTGCCCATCCCAAGGCTTTATCCCTCTCATACACTTGTAATTACATAAAAATATTTAATTGCCAATAAAGTACTCATACAGACACCAGACAATTTGAAATGCATGTACATATTTGCAATAGCAATTCTGGCATTAAACATCTTCTATGCAAGTCAGCAAGTAAATGGATGCCCAACAGTGATTTGTGTAGTTGAGAAACACAGCACATTTACCTTATTGGCTCCAAACTGTACTCTGGCTTTTCCTTTGACTAAAGTGGCATTGATCTGCATGATGACTGATTCTATTGAGTAGGCACTGCTCCAGCCCTGCAGGAGGAAAGGAATGCTAACATACAACATGTACTCACTTCTTGTGCTCACCTTGCACATCTGTTTTGGAACACTTGCTTTGGGAGTTTTTTCCTGCATTCCAGTTTCAATTGCTAATTTTCAGTTAACATTTATTTTCCACAGAAAGTCTGTAGAATTATATACAGTCCTAGTACTAAGAATTCATAAGAATTAAAAGACTGAACTACATTCCAAAATACAGCAAGACAGGAACAAAAAAGCTCCATCCTTACACCAGTGACACATTTTCAGCAATGTCACAACAGAAATTACAACTCCTTTTTCCAAGAAGTAGAAAAGACTGATCTCTAATGAAGTCAGTTCAGTAAGCTGTAAGAACTCTGCTCATCTCTGGCATTGCTTTACCTTCCAGAGCTCACAAGAGTTTCTGCCAGAGCCTGCAAGTAAACTACCTCAATAATTGACTTTTTAAAGAGAAAATCACACTGTCTGCACAAATCATCTATGACTATAATCACCTGTACTCCTCACTTCTCCAGAGCTGACTTTAGTGGTTGAAGAGGCTTCTAGAGAAGAAAACAACTTGTCTTGCTCCCCACACTGCCTGCCTTCCTCACAGAGATTCTGGGAGCTGCAAGCTGACCTGCTCACACTGCCTGCCTCTTCCTCACATCTCCTGTCATCCATCCAAGGCAGAAAAGAAGATCTCAAACAAGATCAGCAAGGCAAATCTTGTGGGACTGAGGTTTAATTCCACCATGTTTCCTTTGGAATGTGTAATTTATTCCACAGAGAGATTCTTCAACTCAAGAGAAGCACCTATTTTCATTATTTTCAGGCATGTTTTATTATCCAGATAACAGAGCTCATATTTACCTGTTTAGTAAGAAGTTCCATGCATAATGCACCTCCACCTAGGACATACCTAGAAACAAATGTGAAAGAAAATATACTTGACATCAGCAGTTAGTAAAAAAGTGCAAGTGCTCACAGCACTTTAGGCTCTTGCCAACTTGTTTGTTCAATTCTTTGTTCACAAAGCTGAAATGCCCTTTAACCAGTAATATATTGAAACTAGTTAGCCACGTAATACTTGGGCAAAGAAAATTAGCATAGTGAGACAAAAAAAGCTGTTTGCTAACTAGACTTAGGTTAAACCACTGACTGAGCTATTCTGCACAACTGCAGAGACCATGGAAAAAGGAAAGTTACTTTTTATGGCTACTCTACATACACAGGGTACAGATGTGTAGCTAAAAGAAAACAACATTCAACTGTGTGAAGAAGTTTAACGCCATTTCAAACAATGCAGGTGCACTTATAAACAACATGAGATTACCAGATCTTTTCTTGCTCTTTTTCTCTAAATTTTTAAATTTCAAAAATATTTTATCCATTGTGCTTAAAGGGACTCAGCAGAACATCAGAGCATGAGAAAACATCGACTGAGGGAAGAGAATTTACCACTGCCAAAATGTATTCTCCTCTATGATCAAGACATTTATACCTCATAGATCCATATGACATTCACAGGGAAATGACCACTGAAAAGCCATCCTTTTTTCATTCTGAAAAGAAGTCTGAGTACAATCAAATTAGAATCCAATGAATTTTCTGGTGTTTGGGTCTGCTTGTTTAATTTTGAGATAGCAGCAGCCCTCAGGAACCCTATTTAACTGCACTAACCATTTACTGAATTAAAGAAGAATACATGACAATTCAAATCACAAAAGAATCAGCACCAGCTATCACAGACTGTATTTTCAAAAGCAGGTATCATTTCCTGTCACCAGGAGATGCCTAAAAGCCTTGGAAGGTGAAATTGTCTCTCCATGGGTATATACAAGTTCCACAGACAGCATGTCAAACATGCTTTAGATGACATTTGGAGCGTGTTTTCAACGAAATTTTGTAGTTTTGGATTAGCATTTGAGGGATTTTTAAACAAAAACTTTATGGCAGTGCTACCAGCAAGAGAGAGACGGGTAAGACTTTACAGCAAACTTAAGGCAACACAGGGATCAAGACCCATTCAAAGCACCCTACAAGAGGAGAAGGAAGAGCAATGTCAACTCCCCACAGAGGTCAGTTCTTACACATATGGCAGGCACAGAGTTTTTCAAGTTTAACATTTTTACCACAAAGCACAATTTCTGCAGGGCAGCTCAAACCTACCCTCCCGTGAGCACAGGAGACACCACTCGCACAAAGGGAGGATCAAAAGGGAAGTTATCCTGAGAAGAATAAAAAAAACAGGTTAAGGAAAATACTGTGACACTGCTTCCCAAACAGAAAGTATTTCAATAGCCTTATTTGTCAAATCAGATTTGAAGTACTACAATTTTTCAGTTGTGTAAAAATTCACTTTCATAGTATTAGCTAAAAAGCTTTTTTTTTGGGATGCTTCAGAGATTAACTTAAAAGGTAGTTTTCTTTTCCTACCTTTTTTTTTTTTTAAGACCACAGATCCATTATTAACAGCTGAGGGTCATTTCAGCAATTTTCTATAGAAAGCCTCAAATTTAACTGAAGCTTTTTGTCCTACAGACACTTACCTTAAAAGAGAAGTTGAGTAAAATGTATTCTACACCTTCTTTTTCTTTTAAGACCTGAAGATCACTATGCAGTGGGCTATCAGGATCAACCCTGTAAAAGCAGCAGGGGGGAGACCATGGATCAAGTTACTATTTTCAATACCTGTAAACAGTAGTTCCTCTTAAATACTTCCTTTATGTAATTGTAGTTTACAAATTGTAGTTTAAGGTGAAATGTTGGAAATTACTGCTCCTTTTACCAAGTAAAAACTTTGCCACAAGATCAGCATAAAAGCTTGCTGCAACATACAACATTCCCAATGCTATCAAGTGTTGCTTAAACATAGCACAAAATAAGCTCTTTATTTGAAAAGAGCAATTTTAATTCTCTTCAATTGTGTTCAAATAAGAGGGGAGAAAAACAGGAAGACTGTAGTAATCTTGTTTTCAGCACATAGTTAGTGAATCCTTTATGGAATATGTAATTGTACTTCTGCATCAGCTGTTAAAAGTAATCTGCATCAGCAGAAGTACTAAAGCCAGCAGCTTCTGCTCAGCAGATTTTCAACAACTGTTTGTTCCAAAATGCTGGTGGTTAGCAGCCTGGCCATTAATGCAGACCCCACTGGGTTAATCCCAATGGGTTCATCTGACACCTCATCCACTTTTAAATAGCAGAGACCAGTCAAAAACACCTGCAGCAAGCCAAAAGCAGATGTTAAAGGGACTGAAAGGCCCTTAACCTAATCCTCTACTACAGCTGAAACTACAAAGTTGAACATCTCATTTCACAACCTCTTGGGCAGGTAGTCCCCATCCTACCAGTGTGAAGTTATTTCAGAAAAAAAAAATCTTCCAGTGCTTAGGAACCTCTCATTTCAAGGCATGGCTTTTGCTGTGCCAGTTCAAAGGGACGTGTTCTAAGTAACAATACTGTTCCTTCCTCACATGGGCTCTTTCCTCTGAGCATCTACCCCTCAGCTACTCTGCACATAGTGCATTTGTTTCCACACTTTTTACTGCAATAAACAAACACAACACTTCTTTTCTTAGACATTCTGGAAGGCATTTGCTGCATGCACTCCATTTCCTCTTTTCTGAAGGCAGAAAATGAGACCTGTTCACAGCACTTGAACAGAGGTTTCAAATCACTGCACTTGGTTTGAGCACTTGGTTACAGACACACCCAATAGGAAAGGCCTCCAATAACGTGACACAGATTTCTCTGATGTGTCATTCCTGCCATTTTCAGCCTCAAAACCTTCACATGCCCACGATTACACTAAGAAGGAAACAAAACTCTTTCAGCAGTTGGTGACCCAGGTTGCACAAGTCTCACCCCTAGGACAAGACAACAATTGCAGGTTAACTCCTGTGCTGAAACAGCCTCTGTCCTTTCCCCCCAGGACATCTCTGAACCCGTGGAAGCTCCTCCATCCACTGCCAACTGCTGCAGCCCCCCAGCACAGTCTGGGTAGGCTCCTCCTCTCTTTTAGGGTGCTGTACAGGGATCCTGTTACCAGGAATAATTCCACTGTAACACCTCTAGGATTTAAGTTACAGGACTATGGATGTAAGAAGGTGAGTTATGTACTGCTTTTCACTTGGTATACTAGACAATGACAGAAGACAAGGTACATAGCATTATATAATTCACATTTTTGTGATAGCTATAAGTTTCAGTCCTGTGTGTCTGTTTAACTGTAGAAATAAACAACTAATGACACCCAGTTATGTTCTTTCCTACATCTTAAGTGCAACTAGAAGCTGGAATTCCCTGTCATTCAAAACAAAAATAAAATCAATGCAAAAATTCTTGAAGAGAATTTTCGTCATTTAAGGCTGTATCTTTTGGAGCAGTTTTAGAATTGAACAGTAATGACAGTTAATGCAATACACGTAGCATTGGCAGGGAAAAGCAGGTCAGTCCTTTTGCCAGCTCAATCACTACTGGTCCATCTCTGGATGTTTCTAGGTATCAGAATTACAGCCACTACTTAGTGGCTACAATTACCCTTACTGTACTACTACAGTGATGGTGATTATATGCCATGGCACATAATGTAATCGTGATTTATATACTATGGCTAGAGATACTCATTTATCAAAAGAATCTCTCCAGCAATACTAAAACAAGATTGTACAGAACATGCAAAGAATTTATTAACTTACTTGAGAAGCTTAACATGCCATTCATACAAGCTGTCATTTACCAGTTCCACTGAATATATCCCTGTAGAAATATTAGATGGAATTAATTATGCACTAAAAGTGTAGATAGAAAACTTAGCAAAACCATTCTTGGCTTTAAATTTGAATACTGTCAGCAGGTGAAAGCAATGGGCAGGATACTGAGGCATATCCTTCCTCCAGTAGCAGATGCACTTCTGAGGAGCTACAAGAAAAAAGTGTTTTCACTTCTATTAAATTCCACATTAATCAATATTTTTTCTGATACTTAACCATTTCACCTTCAAACCTTCTACAACAACAACTCCAGCTTGCTTATTACTCACTGTATTTTACACCCATATACCACCAATGTGTTTTTAAGACACTTCACAACACAGTGTGAGTGTGCAGCATTGTGTTTCCCAGGCTCCCATCAGTACAGACAGACCAGGACAGCACACAGGACAGGGTATGCAACAGAAACCCAACAAAAAGGAGACACAGCAGTGGATGAAGCACATTCCCAACAGCTGACTGAGGAAGCCAGAAAGATGCACCTAAAGAATGGAATGGTCTGTGGGAGCCAGCTGGTGACTTTCAGTGCCCTGTTTGTTTTAAGCATGTTAAACAACAGTTGTGCAATTCATTTCCCAGGGAAGGATGGAAATTATCTGCCATTTTCTTGTATATTCAAAGCTTCCTCTCTGCATAAATTCACAAGCAGCTCTGGAAAAAGCAATAAATCTTTAACCACCCAGCAAGATTTAGAGCATGGTATCAGTCATGTGCAGAAATGAAACCTCCTCTTTCACAGAATATTCATGCATATAGACTAACTCACTATTATTAAACTTGTTTATTAAACTATTAAACTGGCCTAATATTTAACAGCATCCTTGTTACTGACCTAATTATTTGGAAGCCATATACAAATCAGGAACTTGCCTAGAATTTCTGAAGGCAATACAGCCACCAGATTACAGTCACCACATTCTTCCCAAGGAATGGGGGACATTAATTTCTGAGTTTTATTATTCTAGCATAAAAATACTCTTACAGTTGAAGCTTATAAGCATTAGTACTTGGAGTACATGTGACATTTCAAGCTGTCCAGACACCATAATTTCTAAAGCATTTCAAAACTTGGCACACAGGTTAAGGCACCCATGCTTGGTTCTCCTTTCTGAGAGCCACTAACAAGTGGGTACTGCAGCCAAGAGCACAATTTCTAATTTTTCTATGTCTAGAATGACAATGTAGGCCTGAACACATACTCACTGTGCTATCCATGTCCCTTTTAATCAGTAGCTACTTCAGGGACGTGGCATCTGTCTTTGAGGAGCAACCAAAGGAGCTATTAAGGCATTTTTCCAATTCCCCAGATCCAAGGATACTATTTTCTGAACTGACCTTAGTGTAAGTCACAAACTCTAAGAATTTCAATTTGTACTGCTCTGATGTAATAACAAAAGAGTTGACATTCAGAACTCTGCTCATTGTCAACTCCCATTAATGACAAATCTATTCCACTGTTGTATCCAGAATATTTTCTTCCACCTGCATCCAAGTGGGAGCAAACAATACTTTTTACAGAGAAGGCAGTAAGTTACAGTAAGGCTCCTGACACTGTGCTTAACAATGGAAGATCACAAGAGACCTTCTGGGAACCCAGAACATCCCTCTGGCTGTCCAGGACCCCTGCCAGGGGGCTCAGAGACCCTGGCACAGAGCCCAAAACACCTGTCGGCTTGATTATGACCCGTGGAGCAAATCACCAACCTTATATGAAGGTCAGCAAACCACAACAGTTTAGGTAGAATATTAGTAAAGTTATCATGGGGTGGAAAAGTAGATTTTGGGGTTTCTAGAATGGGGGTTCAGGAGGCAAGATGGAGGGAACTGGGTGTGTCCAGCCTTTCTCCTTCTTCTTCTTGGCCTCCATCTGCTGCTGTGATGTTGGCACTTACAGACTGGTTTAGAGTAGAAGCTCACTGTCTAACATAGGTGATAGGTATTGGAAAGTAATTGTAAGTAGTGTACATGTAGTTTTTAGTATAAAAAGATAACACTGCCCTGGGGGGCAGGCAGAGTGCCGCTGACTGTCTTGCTGAGCTGACCTCAGCAAGACAGGAGAAAGAATTTTATAGATAAGATACAATGAACAACCTCGAGACCAAGAAATGAAGAGCTCTGACTGCTTCTTCAACTGCTGGGCTGGGAAAAGAGACTTTGCAACTTTTCTCAGGGTCACTCTGACAAGCTGGAGACCCTGCCAACCTTCCATCCCTTTATTCACTCCCTAAGCCCTCAGCCCCACTCCTGCACTCCTCCCACCACCCTGAGCCTCCTGTTCTTGGCCACAGCTCCTGTCCCAGCCCAGCTGCAAGGCCCAGACGCTGGCAGCCTCCCCAGCAGGAAGAGCTGTACCCCCAGGGTTGTGCTGCATCTAAGGCAGCAGCTGCAGGAGGATTCTCAGAGACAGAACACCAGTGCAAGACACTGCAGCAGCCTCGGGCAGCGAGTTCTGAGCCAAACAGCATCTGTGTCCTCAGGGGCAGCAGCAAGGGGGCTCCAGATCTTGATACAAAAGCTACTTAACACCATCCAAAGCTGAGAGAGGGTGTTTGGGGTTTTCTGAATAATCAAGGGGATGCTACTTGGAAGTAATTCATGTGGGTTTTTTGTAATTTTGACAGTGAGAGGGAAAAGGTTGCTGTCAAAAATAATTTCACTTACAGCAGTTTTAAATTAAGGAGCAGTCCTTAATTTAGGAAAGGAATCAAGGTAGGTTCCTCTTGCTTAAATACAAGGTGGGGTAGGGTTTTTATTACTCAAAGGTGATCAAGTAAAAAGAAACTCATGGAACCGTGAAGCAAGCAAAAGAGTAAGAAATTGAAATGTACATAGAAAATTCTTTTCAAAACAGAGGCAACATCTTACTTAGAGCAACATTACTATATCAAAAAGTAAATCCCACACAGTCTTTGGATAAAACCAGGGAATTGAAGTCCATAAGAACTATATCTGAATAAAACAGATGCCAAATATACAACCAGAAAAGATTTCATTTCATGTCCCCAAATTCTTTGTTTCTTGCCCTCCCTTCTCAATCCCTTAAATTACATTAAGTCGTTTGTGAATCTCCAATCTGATATTTGGAAATGAGATAATCTTGTTTTACAGGACTTGTGGCTCCCATTATCTGAACAGGCTAATGAAACTAATTCACAACAGAGTATCTTAATTTTCTGGAGTATTTTTTGCTTCTGTCAGCTCATAAGAAAATTATTTTCTGTTTCTTTAAGGGCAATTCTTCCCCTAGATTTCCCAGGTAGATAAGCAACTGTGCTGTTGAAAGCAAGTTTGTAATCTTTTGCTTGAACTCCAGCAGCATTGCTTCATTTGATAAAGGAAATTAATTTCTAAAATAGATACTACCTTGAATGTACAGCTAGAGTTGAAGCCACTGTCTTTAAATAGTACTCTTTTTATAACACAGTCCAAGAGAAGAAAAAAAATTAAAATACTATTGCTACAAGTATTATTCACTTCAGAACTCCCAGTGTTCTACAGTCAGTCCTAAAAACATGTAACCTCATGAAAACTAAATAAAGTGATCCTTACCTAACTAAAAATCAGCCTTAGCCTTTCTGGCTTGTCTCACAAAGAAATGAAAACAGCATTAAATTACCTTGCAACAGTTACAAGAACCTGGGAGTTTCACAATGGTTCCCTTTGTGCATTAGTAGGAAGAAATTAAATTTAGGGTAAAATGGACCACGGGACAAGTACTCTAACAAAACTGACATTAAAAAAACCAATTACTGCCACAGCCTGTGCATGTGGTGACAGTTACCTAACAAAAGGCAGAACAAGCCTATGAAAGCAGGAGTTTTATGCAAAGGAGAAGAACTAAGAACATAAATTTACTCAAGGTTGAAGAATAAATGAAACCATAAGGAATGAATCCAGGCAAGTTTTATAACAAACAGCATCAATTTACTGGCACAATGTAATAAATGTGTCAGTAGGACTGTGTTTCAAAGCAGAATTGCCATCATCTTTGTAGTGTCAACCTCCACTTGACACTACTTCATCACCATATTTTAGAGATCTACATGAGGCATCCAGCTGCAGTGTTTTTACATATTTCCAAAGTCATAAGCTCTAAGGCACTGCTCTCACCCTTTAGAACCTCATCTTTCTGTCATGTTTAGCAAGACTTGCTCTTCCTCATAATTCAGAGTATGCTTTCTACATGAAGATCAGTCTTTTGCAACTCATTAAGACTTGTTTATCTAAAGCCAAGAAATGGCACTATTAGAGAGCCTAACCCTCCCCTCAAACACAGCTGGCCAGGGGCCCCTGGCTGACCCCAGGGGTACCACACGTGCCTGAGCACCCCACAGCGCTGTTACAGCCTTAGCTCTGACCACCAAAACAAACCCTGAAGCTCAAAACAGGCAGTAAAGCATCCCCCTTGACTTCACACAGATCTGCTTCCTCCTCCCCAGACACACCAACCCACTCCTTCCCACACAGGGGGTCACTGGGGCACACTGGCAAGCACTCAGCTGCAGGGTGAGGAGCCAAAGGGAGCTGCATTAGATCAACACTAGGCCACCTCATCAAATGTATACCCCAGACATTTTACCACTGTCCCCAGCACTTCCACACATGAAACAATTGACCTAAAAGTTAAATATGACAAATCAAAACAGGAACCTATTGTCTCCTCACCTCTGTTCTTTCACACATGATTAAAATGGCATCGTCAAGTGAGGTTTAAGTCCACTAGAAATAAATATGAACACAAGTCCAGAAAAGTGAAAATGTATTTAAGTTTATACTGACTCCCTAATTAGACATTCCTCCTGCTCTCACCCTGGCCTGCACCAGGGTCTGACACCTGGCTGCAGTGATGGAGTTGTCTATTTGGCAGACCTAGAGGAATACAACTTTCCCAAAATGCATGTAATTTCTATTTCTCATACAGTAACACTCAGCCAATTTGCTGAATCCTTCGTTGAGCTACTTTAGCTACAGCTCCTATAAGGAATAAATGAAACAGCCATCCACTACCTCAAGATAATCACTGCTCATTACTCCAACTAATTTAAAATACAAGCTTGTTTTCCACTGTAACTCACATCATTATTGCAAGGAATAGATGTTCTGACTTTTCTCCACAAATAAACTACTTTATGTAATAAGAGTATACATGATGTATCTATGTATTTTTACATATGTGCACACACAAACATGCACGTATATACAAACACAGGACAACAAAACACAGAGAAGTCAGCAGCAAGTATTTCCCAAGAGAATTCATTTGAAGTATATTTCAAAAAGGGAAATCTGAGGCATTTACCTGTTTTATAACTCTGTGATCTATATATATCCCTGAGTTCTTTCATAAGTCGATCTGAAGCCTGAACTGACCCAGAGACTGCACCCTGAAACAAACAAAAAAGACTCCAAATAAGTGAAAAGTAATATTTACAAACAACTTCACATTACTAACTAGAAGGTATTAACAATATATTAATTTCTGTATGAGAACTGGGTTTCTGAAAAGGTAAATATTCTGGTGAGCAAAGTCTATCCCAAAGAAACAAGGCCCTCCCTCTAAAGAACATTAATATATACTACTAAATGCTACAGGTGATACAAACTTTTAATCAAGGTACAACAGGTATATTTCTGTAAAGGATCTAAATCTTTGGCATTTTAATTTCCAAGATGGATGCACAGTACATCTCAGAGTGAAATATTTAATTTTACATCCTGCTTTTACAACTGAGAAGAAAAGTAAGCCTAATCCTAAGAGTGAGCTTCTACACAAGGTATTATTGCTTTCTCAGAGGTATATTTTTATTTGGTCATTGAAAAAGGGGTTGGTAAACACCCACTCTAGAACAGCAGCTTCCTGAGGAATAAGACCAAGCAGCGAATTTAGAAAACGTGGAACAAAAGCAATACTTATTACAATTGAGTGAAAAAAATCAACATCTACACAGAGGAAGACAAATGTATGTAAACCTTAAAACACAAAATATTTCTTGTGACTTGTCATAGTTCTTGTGATTTATGCAACTATGGCAAAATCTCTACTGTTCTTTTAGAGCTCAGTTCTGTACTGCTCGGCACCTCAAAGTGAGAGAAAACTCAAACCAGTTTTCCTGTATGTTATGTGATTACTCTGCTTATACATCCCACCCAAAATACCACTTTAGGTTCAAGAGTTTTGAAAAGCAGAGAGATAAAAGTTAGCATTATAAGATTTAAAATACAGAATAGGAACAAGGACTCCAAAAGAGCTAAGGTAGTTACCACCCCAAACCCTGACCCTGTGACACTTGGGCTTTCACCATCAGTCTGTTTCCCAAAGGCAGATTATTCCACTGGACCTTGGCAGTTCCCTTCTGCTCCTGCTCTTCAGTCACTGCCACTGAAATACAGGCTATCATATGGAGCTCATCAGCACGGCTGGGGGGAAGAAACCATGACAAAAAATAAAACTGCCCCACTACCAAATAAAAAAGACCCACCTAGGATAATTCAGCCTGTCTCATAAAGTACTAAATAAGTAAATTGATGAGGCTGCTTTTTTACTCCATCTAAAAATTCAAAGATTCTTATTTTTTCAGTCTCCTTCCAGACACTATGAACACCTATAAACATATCCTTTTTGGACACAAGTGTCAAAACTATTTCTGGAAGAATATGAAGCAGCTGTGACCATTACCTCATACCCAAAACATCCTCCCTGTTTGCCTGAAGTCCACAGTGATGTTTTATATTCTCCAATGTCTTAATTGTAGGAACAAATTACTCCTTAATAAAAATTAAGTATCAGTAACAGTTACTTGATGGTAAAGCCTCCACATAGTCCTCCGTCTTCTCTGTCTAATAGTACCAAATAATACACTTAGACTTTTCTTTCAAGGCTATTCATTTTCATACACCTTTGATTTAATTATGCAGATTTCTGAAATTCCACTAGTTTTTCTTAACAGACCAGTACGAAGGATGAACCTTGTAATTAAACATGCAAATAACAGGCAACTCCTTTCATCTGATTAAACAAAAGCTACATACAAACAAGGCCTCAGACAAGTAATTTCTCTACTTACTGTGCTCCTCTCTATAGAGCAGTATCAGACAAAGAAGGGATTTCTCAAAATTTATGGAAAAAGGTTGTTTATTTGCAATATCTGTATATTACTACTATTTATGCCAACTATTTACAGATTAGCTGAAAAATGAAGCATTACACTTAACCAGTTAACACAGCAGTGTTAATCACCACTCTTTGTGTAGTTGCTGTGCTTTGTGAGCATTAAGATTAGGACTCATCAATAGGTGGAGTCTGGAGGAAAGACATTTCATAGACAAGTGTCAAGACTTTGGTTTTCTTCTGAGCAGAGCTGTGCAGATCCTTGCCCCTTCCACTGCATTTCTTACTAAAAGAAGGAATTTTCATACACTTTCCACAGATTGTCAACCTATAAGTATAAGCAATTTAAGAACAAGTTAGATGGTCAAAGACATCCTGTGGAAAACTACCTCTCTCATTGCATCTCTATTTCCATCCAATTCAACTACTAAATTTCTATAATGTTAGAAGTTCATCTTGGCAAATGAAAATTTAAGTATCTTCTGTACTTGAGACATTTAAAAACCAAAGCTTAACACACCCACATCCCCCTGACTTCCACTATAACAGCTGATAAATGAGGTGGTATTAAAGGAGTTAGCTGTAGTGTGTAAGCAAGCCTCAACACACTTTGTCTTTGGCTTCACCCTTTTTCCCCCAGGGGTTTCTGGCTGGGCTGCTCACTCCTTATATAGCAGCACTAAACATAGTTACACTTGCTGCTCTAAAGAATCGATGGACTGTAAACCAGTCATCTACAATCAGGAGAAAGAGGATAGCAAGCTTAACTTAAGGAGTTTAGCACAGGGGCTTATTTTATGTGCTCTGAACTACCCTTGGAAGAACTTGAAGAGGAAGGTAACAGCTAAACCTGATGGTAAGCCTAATGGCAAACACCAGTGCTCTGAAGCACGTCTTCATTCTGGTGTCACTTGTGGGCTTTGGAGCCACTGCAAAGTGCAGTTTAGAAGAGAGCACAACTTGCATCCCACCACTGCACCATACACAGCACTGAGGTCAGTTTTGGCTACACTGATACTAAAATTAAAAACTTTTTCCATAACTCAGTACACGTAAGTTATAATTTCAAAGACTGAACCCAGATATAAATAACAGTATCCTTCTGGAAAAGTGGGACTTGACACTCCAAGGGAGATAAAGTTCCCATTTCTCAAATTGTGACAGTAAGATTTATAGTTGCAACTGCTTCAGACATAAGTGGTCCATCATGGGATCTGATGGGTATCTGTCACATGGGGCTGATACCAAGAGCAGGAAGGCAAAGCCATTTTATCTGAAGTAGTTAAATGAGCTGCAGGACCAGACCGAAGTGACTTTTTTTCCTAATAAGTAATCAAATAGGCACAAAAAATCTCAATCATCCCATCCTGTACCACGTTGTGGCTCTCCAGAGCAATGAGCAGGTAAGCTGGAGAAATCCCTGCTGCAAGAGGCAAACATCTATGTGACAACATGCCAGCTGCTGAGAGCTGCACATAACAGAAATACCTGGAGGAATGCAGGAATTCTCACAGCCAAAACTGCTGGACATGAAAAATATTGACAAGATGCACCACTACAAGCCTGTCCTGCTCTCAAACCCTCCCCCCAAGGATGAGCTGCTGTTGGAAACAGGAACCTCGTGGGGCAGTGGGACCAGCACTGGCCATTGCCCTGCTGTACTAAGGGCACAGAGACATCAGGGGTTTCTTTTCCCCTTCCAACCCTCAAAATGCACCCACAGCCTGCTCTCCCCCCAAGTTATAGGGGATAGGAGGTGCAGCTCACTGCAGTTTTTTATCCAAAGATCTGATTGTTTTCTGCCTGATCAGAAAAATACTGTGAACACATCAGAATGCAACAGGAAACCTCTTCACTCAACAAATTTCAGGAGATTTAGCCACAAGACCAAAAATCACTTGCTGAAACAAAACATGTAAACTCCACCAAGATAAACTGAAATCTAAAGTAACCCAAAAAGAGCTAAAGAACATAAGTTCCATTTGTTACTGAACTTTCTCCATTTTTGAGCAGAAGCACAATCATTCCTAGAAGTTCAAGTAGTTTCATACTTCCTTCAAGGATTAGACTAAAAATAGAAATGACACCTCAGATTTCATAAAATCTGAAGATGAAAGTACAGACATTGGAGACTTTTGAAGAGAAGTGCTTAAACTCCTCAGCATGAGACAGGAAAAGCTAATAGCATTATCTAAATAAGAAAGGCATTAGTCTCTGAAATGACTATGTGGGGAGAGACCTCTGAAAAGCAAGCAGCAGCAAGTTGTTAAATATTTGAAGTTAATGATTCCAGTTCAAAGACCTATTTTAACTACAGGTAAGCAAGTGGTTCTTTAAAGTTATTACAATGCTAAGAGGAGGATTAATTCTTGCTCCAAGTTACATACTGTACCAAAAGCCAAATTTATTTCCTGATGCTAGCAAGAAGAATAGGATTAAGGATACTGCCCAAGACAGAACTCATTTACAAAATTAGTAAATACACATTCTTAACTTGTACAACACACATAAACCATAAAAACCCCTAGGACAACATCTTGAGAAGCAGAAAAATGTCTTTAACCTATCAGGAATAAATGACAGTGGCAGCTCATGCACTGCTTTCCCATGAAGGAGCCTTGAGCTCCAGCCTGCACTGCAGCCAAGGGGAGCAAGGACAGCCCGTGGATCTGGGCCAAAGAACATGGAAAGGAAATGAAAAATCTTCTGGCTGCACTGGGCACCAGTCAAAGCCCTGTTTTATGCTGTACATTCCCATTTCCAACAAGCAGCATGTAAATGGCATGGGTTTGTTTTACTGGCGTCTGCTGAGGAAACAAAGTACCCCAAAAGGGTTAAAAAACCAGACCAATTTAGCCACTGCATTCAGGTTTGTGAAACTCGGTGTCCTCTAAGAAACCCAGTTGTGAGGGCTGTACAGATTGAAATTTTGCTCTGTGTTAGGACACTCAGCAAATAACTGCTCTTACAGCATGGTTAACACATTCTATCAGAAGCCCCCTGGTCTGGCAGCATGGAGGACCAATAAAGTGCTACTGGGATAGCTCTTTCCTAGGTCAGTAGCACAGCTACAGCTTTTGGTTCTCCAGCACCTAGGAGTAAACTTCCACAAGTCCTTGGAGAAATTATTTCAGCAGCACAGCTATTTCTGGTGACCCACAAAAATACCACAGTTCCTCAGCAGCAGTTGAATACCCTGTTCCCTGCACTCAGCTGACCTTGTTTATGCACCAGCATCAACCAGAGTGTCCTGGCATGAGAAACAGCTATTATGTAAGTTGAATCTGCTGTTGTCAAACAGAAAATCAGCAGTGTTCATTTCAGCTCCACTAAATGTGGAGGGAAAAAGCAAAAGGAAAGGCAGTATTGGCCAAATAGGAAAAGAATAGATAGCAAAAAAAAAAATCTGGAGTTTTAAGAGGCTTTCTGCACCAAGGAAGAATGCTGACACCACAAAAACCTTTCTTCTGTTCTACCACATTTTACATGATTGTAAAGCAGGCCATGCCTTTCAGGCTGCAAGAGGTTAAATTTTCTTTAACAATTAAAGACTCCTTACTATTCGGAGCTTGTGTTATACACACAGAAACACAAAAAACCTCACTAGGCATCGTCTCAAACTGTGAACATTCAAGTTTAAACAAAACCAGTAAGTGACTGTTGTGCTTATGGTTACTCAAGTCTCAGAACAGGACTTGATTATACAGCCAAAGCAGTTTGGGACCTTATGTTTACCTGCTTTCAAACCCTGAAATGCCAATCAGGTTTAGGTGTTAAAATTTTAAAATCCTGTGGATGGAGCAGATCATAAACAGAAGTATTAAATTTCATGGTTTATACCTTTTAAGCTTCTATGAAACAAAAGCTTTGATTTCTTTGGGAGTCAGGGTAAACAGAATTAAGGCTGTATGACATCATCACACCCTCCTACATGCACCTCTGAGAAGCAGAAGCCTCTCTGGAGCCTGGCACTTGGGACAGAACATTTCTAAGCCTCTGGAGAACAAGAACTTTTTCTACAACTGCCTGCTGGTAAGATCACTCAGAAAACTGACAGCAAGGCTGCAGAGCTGCTGAAGGCCCTTTACTTTATGCATGGCAATAAAAAAACTGCACAACAATCCACCACCCTTCAGTAACGTCCAGGTGGCACAGCTATTACTGAAAAATAAACTCATGCATAAAATGGATTTAAGCACAGGTTTGCCAAGTATTTTAAGTCACCCATGACTTTTAACACAGGCAATTTTAATTATGGCTTTAGTTTTTTTACTTAAATAAGGGTTCAGCAACAAAAGTCAAGCTCAAAGCCTGGAGGCATTCTGCTGATTCTGCAAGGAAAACTAATGCTTGCAACAAAGGCACCAAGCAAGAAATAGAGGGATAACTCATGGATACCTCTGGAGATGAGCAGGTAAAGTCAGCTACAGGTTAATTTATGTCTAGGTGTACAGGAGTGGGCTTTCTTTGCAGAAAACCACCTCTGTTTTAAAGTCAGAAGTATTGCAAAGACAAAGCATGGAATCATTAACTCACATTTAAGTGATCTTGCCTTTGATTTTTTCTGATTTTTTCTAAGATTGCAAGGTTCTCTTTTTCAATGCCTTCATCCTCAGATTTCTTCCCATCAACTGGTTCCTCCTCCTTCATATCATAGTGATCCAGATCTTCAATGTCCTACAAGAGAGAGAGAGAGAGAGAGAAGTTAAATGTAAATAACTGTCCTGTGCTCTTCATTCAATGAAACCCTCTCCAAAGGCATGTGGGATACACTCACATACTGCACAGCACTATGGATTTGTGATTGTTGGATGCCATTTTTAGTTTGTTCTAACTTCACCCTCAGCCAACATAACCACTGGAAGTATAGGGAACCTTCATAATAAAAATGAAACCCAAATTCACAACATGTTTCTGGTCACAGAAACAAGTACTATCTCTGCAAGAGGATAAGACTGTAGAGAATTAGCTCACTGAAGTAGGCAGCAAACTGGACTAGAGAATCCAAAAGTATCCCAAGGTAAGGTGGCTCCAAGATATTTCTAAAAGGCCCTTCTGAAATTAGAATCCTACTATACTGCACTTCTCACAAGCTGTGATTAACCTATCTGGCAGGGCTACAGCAACCCTTCAAGAAAGTTAAATATTAGAAAACTATGTGTACTTTATTCAAGGCTAACATTTCAGCTAGAGATTAGATGCAGTAATTTTGGAATCAGGACATAAGACAAAATTCTGTGGTGAAACATTCTGATCACCCAAGCCAACACTTCAGTTCTATGTTCCAGACCAAGGCACTAAAACCCCTCCACTCTGTATCCTGAGATGGGCTTATCTTTGTGGCAGAGAAGCACCCTGAGCTTCAGACAACTGTCTGAAGGTGATTCAAATGCTGCCTGTGGAGAGCAGGGGAAGCATGTAAACACCTTGACACAGAAAAGGAAGCACTGCGGCAGCCACACCAGCAGATCTTGGTTACACAACCACCAGATACACTCCAGTGTGCAGAGCTCTGGCACACCTGGGGCTGCTCTCCATGCACCATCAGTTTGCATGGCAGGTAAACCCACACTCAAGGATGTCCTATGTAACAAGAAATACACCTGGTGCATCTGACAACACTGTTTCCTTCAGCTGTAACACTTCAGACTGAGTATTCTTCAAAATGCTCATATTTCTCCAATGACAGAGCTGAGGAACTGAAAACTGCTTCTCCATGTAGAACTGGGACAAGATTACAGGTTACAGATATCACTGCCATGCACAATGCCCCCTGACAGCTGATAAATGATGGCAGATCACTTCTCTTTTTTACAAAGTAACCCAAACAGAATGCAAAAGGCTACTCTAGCAGTCTGCAAGCAATCAGAGCCTTGTGCCAGCAGGACATGGGACACAGCACCTTTACAGAAACACCAGCTCCAGCAAATGTAGTCTGGATCAGGCTAAATATGGCATAAGAAAGGCTGCTGCAAATTAATCTAAGGACTTGGTAGCATTGATATTTTCTATAGGAAGATCATTTATTCAGAGAGAGTTGTTCATTCTTACTAAACCTCAATTGAAAATCTAAATCTGAAGTAGTCAGAACAGTTCTACTATAATAAGGCAGTCTATAGTAGTGTAGAAAGCAAGAATCTTGGAGCTATTCTAACATGTAGCAGATGCAAGCAAAAAGGGTGATTCTTACAACTAAAAAGCTCAATAAAGAGAGCCCCGTGTTGCCAGACATGGACATTAAAGTTTAGTGTGTCTGCTTCAATGTCCTTCCAGTCCCTTCAATTTATTACAGTCAAAAACTTGCTCACCCATTCAATGAGTCAGCAAACTGATTTACTCTTAGCAAGTCTGCTTTAGTTTGGGAGGCACTTCCAACTATACCAGAGCCAGTTCACATGCTGCTTGAAATAGGAGTTAACAATGCAAAAACTTACTGATTTGGCACACAATGTTATGTATTGTTTGACTAAAGCACAAACAGATGTCCAATTCTCTGTATCCAAGTACCTCACAGCTGAGATCTAGGTTTAAGAAGAAAATTTCACTAGGTTTCTGGTTGAAGGGAAAGCTGACATTCAGGTAAACATCCAAATTTTAATTATCGTTTCTGTTGAACTCCAGGGAGGTTACATGCTACAGTTTGGTTTAATTATTAGCCAGACATTGCAGAGCAAAATGACAAAATTCTACTAGATTAGGACAACAATCTCATTTATAGACATACTTCACCCATATCATCTTCTTCCTCCTCCTCTGATGTAACTTCTTCTGTTGTTCCATTCTGCAATACAACAATGAAAGTTCTGCATAAATTTTGCATACACTTTTTGCTTTCAAAATCACCAAGTCTACTTTCAAAGAGAAGCAGTAAATGCAAAAGTGACATGTCAAACTTCAGTCCTTTGCAGATAAGGGTAAGATGCATAAAGATGCTTTCCTGGTATATGACAGTGAAGAAACTTTTTCACGAAGCAAAATTAATAGAATGTCTCAATTTGATGAGAATGTCTCAATTTAATTCCAATTAAGTTTTAAGTAGAAGCTTTAAATTCAGATAAGGAACATCCTATTCTGAAACACTGTCAAATGCAACAAACATCAAGTGGGTTACAACCCACCATCCCTTAAGCAAGAAATCAAATCATGGCTCTGAAGAATCCATCTACAAGCTACACCCCTAGAAAGAAAAAAACTCAATGAACTTTAGACCTCTAGAACTTAATGGATTCTTTTTCTCACTACCTGGAACTTCCATGCAGCCACTAGTATCATCATGTAGCCATTGCTATTAGCCTGTCTGAGGAAAAATCAACACAATACAATTAATTTTTATGACTCTCTTTCAGGATACCACTCCAAGCTCAGGAACTGTGAGTTGCAGAAATACTCAGGAGTATTTTGATATGCTTGTCCTCTGCTCACTCTTCCTCTGGTAAAGAAGTAATGACACTGCTCTAGACAATCTATGGGACCAGATGAGTCTTGGGTCAGACTCAGACTCACTTTCCATGAGCTTGTTTTGAGTTCCACAGCACATGTGAGACCCTTCACACAGCTACACCCCAACAGCACAGCCCATTGCCTTACAGCTGCACTGCTGAGGGGGTGGCTCAGAGAAGGGACCTAGAGGATTACAATTTGGCATGTGACCAAAAATTAAGCAAGTCATTTGTCATTACTATAGCACTGTCACCTCAGGAAAGCATCTGTTACTCTAAAGGAGTATTTTAGCAATCATGTCATCTTAATGTGTACAAAGAAAAGAAGATCCCATAATCTTATTAAAAAACAGAAAAGAACAGCTACTGTCAGTTACCAGTTCTGTTTTCAACACAATACAAAACATTTTGGCTAAGAAGACTACCTCAGGCCTTCACAATTCTTAATTTTTCAAGTGCACAAGAAATAAGCAAAGCACCTCCCTACCCAAAGTAACATATGGCCTGGATATCCCATGTCTCTGCAAGGGACTGAAGAAGGAAAACATCAACAGTAGTTCATCCAAGTGCATACTGTGAAACACATACTCTTCAACGTAGAGCCAAATATTTCAGAAAAAGTAACTTTGGGAAGCACTCCAAGTGCACAGAGATTGGCTTGAATAGTGTTTAGGAGGGAATTAAACTTGACAGCACTGGTGTCACATACACACCTTGCAGTGATACAGAGACTTCAAAGGAAATTGTGTAATATGATCATACCACTATTAAATGGATTTTGCAAATAAAATTCAGATTGAAGACACCATAATCTGAAAGTGCTTCATATCTCAGTTCTGGTTTACACAAGGTTCAATCTTTCCCATTATTTTGTTTCTTGGAGTTAAAAACCCAACTCCTTTATTGGCATAAGAAGGTGTCCCCAGCTTTTTGATTTACCTGTCCAGCTGGCAATGGCTGATCTAACATTTCAACATCTGGATGCTGAGGAAGATTATATAATCTGCAGAGGTCACATATTAATCGCTTCAGCTGCTGAAGAAGCTAAAAACAACAAAAACACATGGATAAGTTCATTTAAACCAAAGCACAGAGAAGTATATTTAGAATTTTCTTCACACATTGATATTGAACTTAAAGTCAGTGTACAGCCTTTAAATCTGCTAAGGCTGGAATAAAATTTCCTCTGTAATCTTTGTAGTAAAGTCTCCATAACAGAAACTCAAGGACATGGCAAGTTAGCAATGACTCCCATTCATCTTCCTATGTATAAGGAGAAAGCCATGAGCAGAAAAACCATTTTTGGTCTGACAGCATCATCTATTCCAAGCATAGGTGTCTAAGCCACACATAACTATGGAATAAGCAAATGGTCACATTCCATGAGACAAAATGGCCCACTCCCATTTCCCAGCTTAAATAACCAAGGGGGAACAGTCTGGTTTTGCATACCCTGAATTTGTTCACAGGCAGCAGAAGCAGCACCAACCCTGTCCAAGTCCCAGGAGCCAGGAGGGCTCTGAGCTGGAGCCCAGGCACTCTGCTTGCTGTATCTTGTGTCAGGGTGAGGCACAATCTGTTACTATCTCTGATTTATGTTTCCAACCTGTTCCACTGATTGTGCTCTATTAACTGCAAACTATGCACCACCTCACACTCACTAATGTAAGGCAGAAAATAATTTACTTCTGCAAAAACAAACATTAAGTTTGCTCTTTGGTCATCACACTAATGAAGGTGATTTCTACAACTCTTCACTTTCACTAGACAGCCTCAGATTCCTAGCTAAGGCCAAGACAAGAAATACTGCTGCGTTTCCTACCTTTCCAAGGTCTTTGCACAGCTATGTCAGGAAAACAAAAAAGGACTGCAAAATCTACTCGTAAAAGGGTCAACATCTCATCATTTGCAAAATACTAACCTAGATGAAGGTTGCAGAAATCATACAGCCATTTATGGACTTTTCTTCACAAAACCAAGGAGAATTTGTCCTGCCACTTGTCAAGGGCAGCGTGCAAGACAGTCATTTCTGCACACACACTCCAAAGTACTTGTCTAAAGCCTTGCCATTGGCCAGTTTAAAGGCTCTCACCTTACCCCAATGGAAGTGAAAAATTCAGTCTGTCCAGGATTAAGAGCTCATTTCCAAGCCCTAACCACTAGCAGTGATAGGAAAATGTTGCCCTTATGTCATCTGAAAGCCTCAGTGCTTTTCCCTTCTACAGCAGAATTCCACATTGTGCTTCATAGGAATGTTATTTATCCATCTGAGGCATCAGCCTGCATTAGAACAATATCACACCAAGTCTGCTGTTCCTGCATCATTCATGATAGCCAACCCAACCCCAAAATAAAGCAGATAATCAACCTAACTCAAAAATAAAGCAGATATCACCTAAAGGACTGGGGCACCAGCACCACACTTCTTAGGAGTATATACATGAGACATGACAAGTTTTGGCAAAAACCCTTCTGTAACAATCGTGCTTCTCATCAGCATCAAGACTCTACACTTGTTTGAAGCTTCCCAGGTATCCAGAACATCATGAAATCTTTCAGCAGACAGGAATCAGGTTAATCAATCAAAAAGTTAGTTGCCAGATAGAACCACAGGTCCTAGAACTATTATTTTCAGTATGTGCAAGATACTTAGAATTGCACTGCTATGCATTTTGTTGAGAAACTTTTTCTCCGCACAAACATTGCCTCATGGAGAGCTGGAGCATAAACCATACAATTCCAGGAGCTGTAATTTTTCTCACAGAGCCAATAATTTGTTTAAATCTTCTGTGAATCATACAAAAATAAATCTAAGCAGTGAGGGAAGACTGCCACCATTGGGCTGGTCAATTAGCACTGGCCTTGGAAAAGAAGATGAATATAGTATTAGATGTGCCTTGACAGAGAAACAGTAAGGACTGGAGAGTTAAGAATTGCTTCCTGCCCTGCTTCCTTCACTCCCCCTCCTCCCCCCAAATAGTCCTGTCAGCTGAACTGGAATTCAGAAGGAATTTTTGCAGCCAGGACCTGCCACACTGTAAGCTTCCCTTGCTTCTGAGCAGAGCACCCAAGCAAGGAACAGGAGCACCAAAACAAGGTGCTGGCACAGCCTGGGCTGAGTTACAGCTGTGCCTGACCAGGGCCTCCAGCAGCTCTTCACCTCCTCATTTCCACTGCACCACAGATCACAACACTCTGTGACAGCTTATCAGCCTTGTGGCAGATCAATTCTGGTGTGCTTCAGCACACAAGCACCATTTCATCATGAAGGGGAAGGCAGAGACCTGCTGAGAGCAGGGATCTCCTTCCTCGGCAGGATTCCACACTGCAGGGTTAGCTTAATGCAACTCATACTGCAGCTCATTTCTACAGACCAGCTGCTTCATTTGCAATCAGTGTCTACAATTTGCAAAGGTGGTGGCAGAGCAAGAAGCTGATCCTGTCCGTACAACCTTTCCACCCTTCTTCCTTATTGCTACATTTTTCCTCCACAGGAATTAATTTAATATCATTGATCTTTCTGTCATGGATCACCATCACTGTTATCCCTTATCCTCTGCTCATCTGTATGAAAAATCACAGGGTAATTTGAGCTGAAAGTCACGTCTGGAAGACATCTGATCCAGCCCTGTGCTCTAAGCAAGATCTGGTATGTGTTGGTATGTACATGAACAGACTATCAAAAGGGAGAGCAGATTTCTGTCATGTATTAATAATTTAAATGCATTTCCAGGGTAACTTCACAGGCTTGACTAATGTAAAATGAATGCTTTACACACACACACACTTGGAGGTTACTGAAGTGAGCTATCAGCACACCAGTGGGTCCCCTGGAACTCAAACTGCCTAGAGCACAAACAGCAACCACAACTCCTAACCCACAGGGCAAAGGAGTGATGTCAATAGGTTGCACAAGTGACCAAACACAACACATTTCTAAATTTGTTAAAATGATTATAATTAATATCAAAATAACAAAAATTACACCAGTAGAATACACAGCCTCCATAATTTTTAATGCTTCAGAAGTTCTGAGAAGTTGGTGGTTCTTCTGGACACCATAATGCTGGTTTAGAACACAAACACCTCTTGGAATTGTGTTTCCTATCCTAATGTACTGCACATCCAAAAACAGTTTAAAACAATTTTTTCTGAAAAATTCCTAGCCTACACTAGGAGGCTTTTTTATGTATGAAGATTTCTTCCTAATGTAGTAGGAAAGCTTTAACAATTTTAGGATACCTTTGATGGTATTAATATCCTGCTGGGCTCACTATGAAGCACCCTGTTTCCTGATTATGAAGAAAAATGAATTTAAGAAGTACAGTTTAAGCATAAAAAGACTTAATTATTCTGTGTGTCTCTACCTACACCCACAATATCTATATAAAAATAAATGCATCAATAAATCTTAGCCTACCACCGAGAAAGTGCTGAAGAAGGATATAAATGGAAACAGAGGGAAGCAGTAATTGTCACCTGGAGTGTGGCACTACTTGGTTATCAGGTACCAGTGACAGTACCTGGCCTGGCCTTCCCCACACTCAGCAGCCCTGGGCAGCCTCAGACTAAAGCAAAGCTGAGTCCTGCATTTTGTCTCTTCAGCTCCCACTGCAGAAATAGCTGCTGCCACACTGGGAGTTTGCAAGAGACAACATTCTTCCCTGAAATGCCTCCATGTGGGATTAATCTAAAATATTAGCACAGAAGCAGTGTATTTCAAGACAGCAGCTTACCCAAGCTGTAAACATACTTATGCCAGGAATTGTGTACTTACTTTTGACATCTTTCATGCAAATTTAAGGTCTGGAGTGGGAGAATTAAAGCTGCCTCTGAATTTCAGCCCATTTCCCTATTCTCTTTCAAAAGCAAACCTCCAAATAGTGTAGAGTTATAGTTAACATCTCATGAAATAAGGTTTGAGGCTTCAGACTCACATCATGTAACTTTCATCATATTAAACAGAACAAGGGAAAGCACAGTAAGATTTCTCTTTTGCATAGCACAGCCACTAGAAGGCAGATGGCAGTTTCATACTTCAGAAATCTAAAGCATGGCTGATTTTCAGAGGGAAATTCAGGAGACACCAGGGGCTGAAAGAACTCTGTAGCCTCTTTATCTACTGACTGAAACTTGCCCAACATTGACAACCAAGCAGCTAAGCTGTCCAAACCTGATGATATCCAAGATGATCATATTTTTAATAACCTTTCAACATTTTTAGTGTTTTGACAAATTTTCACAGTAAAAGCAACATGCTGGTGGCAAGATAACTACCACAGTTCCAGACCCACAGAAGATTTTCCAGGAAACACATGTAGGATTTCAACATCATAAATCAGTTTTTGTGTTACCATGTCAAATGACAAGGCTTCCACATGTCAAACATTTATGCCTGAAGAGCATATTCTTCAGTTTCCCAACAGCTGACACCCATCCCACGTTACAAAGCAGGTAGAAAGGGCAGTAGAATACCAAAGGCTAAACAGGGTACATGTGCTGCACTGCCTTTAGCACAGCTGAGCTCCTGGAAGAGTCCTATGCCTCCTTCCATTCAAAATCTGACTGCTCCAGTAACTCTGAATTTAGAGCAATACAGCACTAATGATCCTTTACCTGCAGTAAATTAAATGAAAGTTAGTTTGAAACATTCTAGATTATTCTAAATTAAACTAAGTGAATTTTTATGAGACTGTGATAAATAAGAAGCCTTTGCATTTGTAGTCCTCTATCCCTTCTTAGTTTGCTGCAAAGTCTCTGTGTGAGTGCTCCATGCCACTGAAAGGGATGGAGTTCTACGGGGAAGAGTTGAAGGAGAAAAAAAAAAAAAGTCAAATTCAAATTAAAAAGTCAAACTTCAAATTAAAAAGTCACAAGCCATGTCTTTGGAGCAAAAAAAGAAATCAGATTCTGTAGTGCAAGTATTTGTCTCCTCAACCACTCCCATCTGCCTTCACCTTGGCACAGCACAAAGCAGGGTGGATTCCTGAGAAACCAATGGGCCATCACAGGTGTCTATTACAGCAACCCAGCAGCTTTTTTACATGGGCAAGTACAATCTTGATAGCAGAAGCTGTTTTCCTACCAGCTACATAAGCAGTCTGTGAGCATATGCAATTCAGCACAGCGAGTCCCATGCGTGTTTACAACAAAGCTTTGCAGCCTCTTGCAGGCAGTTGCACACAGGAAATAAATACCTTGTTCAGAACCTTTAGGCTGAACATCAGCCACACCAGCTTCAAGCTGCACAATCTTCTGAAAGTGTCTTTAAGCAAAAAGCTCATTTAGCCAGATTTTCTGCTACTGCCCCTTTCCAGGCAAAGCTTTAAGATTTATAGTATTCTCCTGAATGTAGTTCAGTCAAATTGAAGTAGGAAATACAGAGATGTACATGTTGTGCAATCAGATCCAACAAAATGCATGAAAGCCCTAATGTCCCTTTACAATTATTTTTAATTATGGCAAGGCCCTCAAAGATTCACTTTTATTAGTTTCCTAATTATTTTTGCTAGAAGTCAAATGCATCCTATCTTCAGATGCAAACTATCTTCAGAAAAAGACACTTGTACATTTTTATGTAAGGCTGGGTATCCTAGATGAACATTATCCCAGGAAACATAACAAGCAGTGGGTTTTCCAAAGAAAGAACATTCCAAATTTTTCCCAAACCAGACAAATACTAAGCACATAATCCATGCAATAAGCAGTATTCTGATTTGTTTAGTATGTATTGCATTCATGTCCACCAAAATAAACACAAAATGTTAATATAATCTATTAGTAAAGATCACCTGAGTTTGTCAGTATGCTGCAATACCCCTTTTTGAGGCACCAACTGCATTTGTACTGAAATTTATTTCCAAGCACTATTCCAGGGCAGTTTCCTAGAGAGACTAGGAAATTAATTTTTATATTAATGTGCCTTTCCTCTGATCTCCCATCACTACATGAAAGGGTACTTAAGTAAGATAAAACGCTTGAGAGCTTTCTGAAATATAAAACAGCCATCAGAATCTGTATACAAAGATTTCCTTTAAGTAGCAATTGTCCTAAGTCACAAGAGTGCTTAAATGTATCAGTACCTAAGAAACTTTCTGATGAACCAGAAGCTCTTAGGTCAAGTTTCCTTTGAAAGAAGCAAAGGATTAAAGAAACCAAGAATTCTTGGTATTAGAGTCATGGTTTGGAGAATATAGATTCTCAAGAGCACAAAGTTTTGCCTCTGATAGAGTTTTCTGTGCAAAGAAAATTCTACAACAGCTGTCTTATTCAGCAGTTTTAACATTTTCATCCACTTCACTGTTTAATTATTTTCAGAAAACATCACACTAATTACTGGGACTGAAACCTTACTTAAAAGCTTACTCTCTAAAAGAAGTTATCTTTTCCTTCTTGCCTCAAATCTTTTGGATTACTTTTGGCTCCTAAGCTCTTTGGAAGAGAAAGTTGTGTTTATAAAATCCCCCAAATAACCCTAAAACTGAACCAGCTGATCTGCTTGTTAATGTGACAAAGCCATGTAAGCCCACAATCCCAAGTAAATGTCCAAAATAACCAAAATACTTCACTCACCAGAGTATTGCTCTTCTTAATATCTTCTAAACGCTCTAAGACTGAAGTCAGGTTTGGGTCATCTGATTCTACAAACCATATTGGTGATGAAGAGGGGTAAGATTCCTGTTTAAAAAAACCAAAAAACAAAACACAAGACCCAACAAATAAGCAAAAAATCCCAAAGCTTTAAAAATCATTTACCCCCAAAATTTCATAACACAGTGTTAATATTGCCTTTAATCTTACTCTATGTCAGGTAACACAGAAGCTTTTAACACCACATCTTTAGCTAATGCAAAAGATATTGAAAGAAATCCAGCCAACTGGTTCTTCTAGTATTTCAACCTATTTTTGTCTCTCAGATGATGGATATACATAAGAAACAGTGTTGAAATGTTTAAAACCTTGGGGGCAGGTAGGGCAGGAGGGAGAAATTTAAGAATGTGGTATGGGTGATAATTAGCAAAAAATGGAATCACAAGTAGTACATATCAAAAAATAAAACCGATGCTGATTTTTCATAAAAACACAGCTTCCTGCAAAGAAAAGTTGTGAAAGTGTAAAAGTTGATGCCTTTAGATTTCCTCTTTAAACAGGACTATTGAAACTCTTCAGGCACCGACCCTCAGCCAAAAGCAATGCACCTGAAATGCCCTGCCCTGAAGGACAGTCTAACTGGCAGATCACAGTTTAATGACAGATAAAATGTGCCATTTTATCTTTGTACCACCAAGGCTCACTGAGGGCTTCCCACTGTTGAAGATCTCTCATGCAATACCCTGAATCCAGGAGAGCTCACAGAGTAACTCCGTTCCACCCAGAGTCCCACAGCTGGCAGGAGGTGCCAGGACACAGCCAGGTGACACAAATGAGCTCCATTTTCCACAACAAGCTGTGGTTTGGGCACATGGAACCCATGGAAGAGATGTGACCCACAGCTGCTCACGGGTGCCAGAGCATGCAGCCCTTCCAAAGCTGTATCCCTGCTACACAAAGGTAAACAGAAAGCCCTTGGCTCTTGCTCACACATTCTGAAAACCAACTCAATTTTTCTCCTCACACAGGTTTGGTAAAATTGTGAGGATGGGAAATACCATGTAAGTGTCCCTTCATGTCATTGATGTGTGTGGATTTTACTTGTTTTGTTTTAGTTATTTAAGGCATTCTCTACTTCTCACTCTTTCAATTAAATTTTAGTAGCTGAGGACAAATTGCTGAACCTCAGTTTTATCATCCAGATATTATCTTCATATCCCCGGGTCTTACAAAATAATGAGGGAATTTTCATTCATTTCCCTCACTGCAGTTGAAAAGGGAAAAAAACCATCTTTCTCATTCCAGAGACAATAAATTATGCTTCATTCTTCAACAGTTAACAGGCAAGGTTTGAAAGTGAGAAAAATACATGAAGAAAGCATGTCAGAGCTGGCTTTTAATAAAGTATATTTCCTAACTGAACTTCTGTCTGAAGTGCTGGACCCCATAAATGAAGCCATATGACTAAAGGGCACCAGCTTTGGCAAAACAGACTGACACCATACTCCAGAGAAGTTCTAGATAGAGAGGTCTAAAACCCCACCTGTAAACTGAAGCCTCTACATAAACTTAAAATAACAAGTTCAATCCCATCAAGTTTACATTTTTTTCCTTTTTTTTCTAAATCACAGCTAAAAATTCCTTAAAGGAATACACGATATTCCCAGTATCTTTATGAAAAGACAGCTTTCATCTTCACTTCAAAGCACACTATACTATACTTCACTTGCTCTTTGTATTTCTGGGAATGTTGGTGTAATCTAAAGTCAGGCAGTGGGGTAAACACTACTACCATTTCTTTTAACTTCACGAGCTGGACAGAGGAATTTGGGTGTCAAGAGCAGCTGGGTGCAACAAGTATTCAGGCAGTGGGGCCACAGTTAGCAGAGATTCCCTTGTGCTGGTCCCCCACAAAGCAGAGACCTTTGAATATCTATTCCTGATTAACAAAGGTCTAACATCTCAAAGACCTATCAGGAAAGTCCAGCTTGCCAAGATTTACAGCTAAGGCAGGCTTACCAATGTGGTTTAATCACCCTCCTCCTTTACATAACTCAGTGCTTCAGAAGAATGCATTTTCTCCTCAGTTTCACTTAACAGATTAACCACTATGTCTGTGGGAGAAACAAGGCTGAATTCCCCATCACCACTGGGTTTCTAAACTGTTATTTTTAGGAGCTAAACTTCATTACAGATATTTCAGGTTTTGTACTGATAACATCTCACTCATTTTTAATCACATGCAGCCTACTTGTGAAGTCTTCTGCACTGGTCTTCTGTCTTCTGCCACCTTCTCACCTCAAGCCTTTCCCACTGCACGCTGATCCAGATGTGCAGGGGGAACAGCACAAGGGAATCTCTGCTGTGGCCCCACTGCCTGAATACTTGTTCCACCCAGCTGCTCTTGAGACCCAAACTTCTCTGTCCAGCTCATGAAGCTAAGAGAAAGGCAGTGGGGTAAACACTACTGCCATGACTTTAGATTACACCAACATTCCCATCAAGAAACACAAAGAGCAAGCAACATCCCCTTCAAGATTCACCAAGTCATCCATTTCTTTAAAATCCTCAGACTCAACAGAATAAAAATATTCTCCAGAAAGAGTCCCATTTGGGCTGTGCATGCATGCACCATTCTGTTAAGAGGTATTTTAGGCTTTTTTTTTTTTAAATCAAGCATTTTTAAAATTATGTTAGCCCAGTCCTTTTCTAAAATTATGCTATTAATTGCAAAGATTTATAGAAGACAAACACCTGCTAATCCTCTCTCCTAAACTGTATCTGGAATCCGAAGACTGCTTACAAAGTGGAACTCAACTCTTCCCTGTCTATATTCCTTTTTTCTGACAATTTTATTTCTCCCCCTGAAGAATTTAAGGAACAACCCCACAGTAGGACACTCCTTATTGCAACCAGTATCTGTTCCAGTCTGGGGACCTGTCCAAAACACTTGCAGCATGTCTGTCATCAGCCAGGGACGTGACTGACAGTGCAGATCTGATGATCAAGCAATCCCACAGTGAGTTTCAATGCACTGCAGTGGCTGCTTGAACGTGCTGCTGCCTCCTGCTCTGACTGACAGCTCTTACTCATGGTTTACACTCTCTCCATTTCGTGCCCTGAAAACAAGCCCTGCCCTCCCCTCCCGCAGGTGAGAAAACCTACAAGGACTCGATACTGCCTGGATCATTAGTGTACAGCACACATGAATGACTAGGTCCTAAAAATTATTAGCCATTCAAATTTTTAGTCTGATCTAGCTTTTGAAACATGAATGAAAGAGTGCACTTCTCAGAAAGGCTCTTCTTTAACACTGCAAGCACGTTTACTCAGCTGTATCAGAAAATACTTCAAGTTTTAGATTTCTGGCATATAATTACTTAAATTACACATTCCAACTTTTTCACAACAAATGATTAATATTAAAATACAAATTCAATTAAACTTCTGTTTTGTTGCCACGTTTAATTCTTCACACTTACCAATAAATATATTCATTTAATTAAAAATATAAATGGAATTAAGTTTCTTTAGATCTGTAAGTAATCCATATTTTTGGAACAGCTGATTTCCACGCGGATATGAGTCACTATATTTTGAAATACAGAATTCACACATGAACTTCAAACATTCTGAACTTGAGATATAAAAAGGCTCATGAGTTTGTAATAACCACAGCAGGCAACTTACAGCTAAGCTTGTGGCTTGTAAGGTCAAACAACTGAACTTCACACGAGCTAATTCTGTTGAGGGAATTAAGGCAGCTTTTTTTTCTGTATCTGTATGCTACAGAGATAAGAGGTGGGTTTGAGCTGTTGTGCCATGTAAGGAACACAGGCTTCTCAAAGACATTTCATGAGAGGAACCCTAAAATAGCAGTTATTTTGCTATTAATTGTCAGTGGCTAAAAAGCCCCATTACTGTGGGCCTTTCATTAGAGGGCTGCCATGCAGTGGTTTTGTCTCCATAATCTCTCTCAGCTGCACAGCTCTCCCCATCTCAGCACTGGAGATGTTTTATGTAACTGCTGCTTTTTTGCCGCTCTCCCCAAGCGCAGGCAGGGGCTCATGGCAGGGCCGTGGGCACAGCAGCGACAGGACAGCAGTGACATCACACCTCCCCGCACGGCAGGACAAAGGCAGGATGTTTACAGCAGCACAGATACAATTACAATTCATGGCATCATCACTTCTAGAGACTCTTTGTATCAGCAGCAGGACAGACTGGGAGCTTTGTGAACGCAAACGCTTCTGTGACAGAACGCGGTGAAAGAATTGAGCCCGCTAATAAACACACAAAATACAAAGGGGATAAAGCCCTGCACTCCTGCCATGGGAACAATTTCAAAACTGATCAAAATAATTTAGAAAAACCACTGTGTTAGAAGAACACACACGGGATCTCACTGTTCAGACATTCCATTACATCCTCTGTAAGAGCTCTACTTACATTTAATAATTTTGCTAACCAAAGGACAAAAAAAATAAAGCAGCAAAATGTGACAGAAGATTCCAGGAACACACACATTAAGACAGCTTTTCCTGGGCAGGATCTGTCATCTAAGTATATCCTATCTAAGCTTTCTCATCCTTAACAATAAGGCCGTTTCCTTGCCATGTTATATAATCTTCAGCCTGCTTTCTAAAGCTACAGTGACACGATTTTGACATCAGCAAGAGACTTTTAAATGAGACATTTCTAAATTACTACAATGCTTTTAGAATTGTGATGTTGCTAAATCAAAACAAAACATCTTCCTCTCAGTCTTAACTTTAGAACAGCGTGTACTTACAGTCTGCAACAAGGCAAAAGAGTAATCATCTCTCCTTGTACACAACTGAGCCATTTTATCACAGCTAAATGGCAGGAACATACATTTAAACACAGGGCTACTGCATCATGATTTAAAATCACAATGACATGGTGACAGTTCTTAATTTTCTTTAATTTCCCACTAATACTAGATGGAAAAAGTGTGGGGGTGGTTTCTTTTAAAAATCCTTAACATACTGTCTGAATAAATTTGAACCAGTTTTGTTTCTTTTCTGTTTGTTAGTTTTCACAAAATCCCCATCATAGACAGAACCTAGTTCTATTCTTTTCATACCAGATACAGCCAAAACTTAAGGAATTTTCCTAACAGTCCTTCTAATATTATTTTCTCAGTCCCAAAATTTTTCTTCACCCTCCTTTACTTACAAAAAAGCAGGTCTTTTAACCAGCTTAAATACTCAGAGAAGGCTGGAAAGAGACCATTCTTGCTCACCCAAATCTTGGTAATGAAGTAAATCCTAATGGAACAAGACATCTCAGAGGCCTAATACAATCTCCTCAAGGTGAATACATTTGCAGCTATAAACACGTGCCAAGTAATTGATTACAAATCACAGATGGCTTTCCAACTTTGTCCATTTAATTAAACAGCAGAATCAGATCTCCATTAACAGTCATATATACATCCTACATGAACATTCAATATTGAAGAATAAACAACAATTAGGTACACTTTAGTACATGTTATTTGCAATTGTTAGTCAATTATTCACTACTTATTTTTCCACCTGTATCAAGCTGCCTTTAGAGAAAAAACCCAGAGCTAATATTAACAAAAATATCAGGATTTCAGAAGATATTCTTAAAGCTAAAGTTTAGCTTGGTGACCACAAAACACTAGTACTTACAGCTACTTAAAACAGCATTAGTTGTGATTACACAACTGACAGATTGTTTCCCATTATTAGAGGCCAAATTTTCCAAAGGCAGCTTAAGAAGCAGCAAGCATTTTCTACCACTAGCAGCTCAAGTGCCAGTGAAATCCACAGGCTTAAGAACCTTTAAAAACCAGCAGATCTTCATCTGCTTCATCTGCTCTCTCAACCAATCCTTTATAATAATTAAGAAAGAAGAAAGCATCAAGAATCACTGTCATTGAAAGGAATCCAAGCCAAACTATTTTCCAGAAACCTCCTGTTACTTAAACCCCCCAAATTTTTATTTTCAAATATTCAGACACTACCATTTGCTGTGTTGTGCAGATCAAGTCATTGAACACTACAATACTCTAACATTTGCACTTTTAGATATGAAAAAATTTGTAATTTCTTAAAGAATCAAATATGTCAGTGATCCCGAGTTCTAAAAGATAAGTGTTTGCAATGGAGGGTTTAAAATTAAGTTTAGTATCTGTGGTAGCAAGGAAGCAAAGTGAATTTTAAACATCACTACCAAACAAGAGGAACTTGCTTTTTTCTTGAATTTTAAAATCATATATAACATGCTATTCACTTGCCCAAAAGCCAGCCTGTATTGCTTTATTTTCTTCCATCCTCCCTAAAGCATGACAGCCTCAGTTCAGTGAGAACACTTGTCATAAATCCTGCACTTAGGAAGGCACCAAGTTCAGCTTCTGAAATACACATCTCCCTCTATAACATCCAAAATTACTGCAATTCTACTCTCCAATTTAATGGCTGTATTGACAGCTACAGCCTATACACGACAATCCCAGGTGAAGCATCATGCTTTGGTAGGATCCCCGGGATTGCAAGAGCTTCATCACCCTGCACCTTTGCAGGAGAAGGTGAAAGAATCCCCTAATGCTGTTCTATGTCAGTTCTGTAATACGCTCAGTGCTGCACAAGCCAGTACCTCCAGGAGCACATTAAACCCACACAGCCGACGGGGTCACAGCTGGCCTCTCCCACACACTCTCCAGGGAAGGAGGCAAGGGTAGCAGAGGGCCTTGTTCTGGAATTGTTCATGTTGTTAAACTAAGCCATGCTAGAGACCAGAGGGTCAAAGGTACATGCCTCATGGAGCAGAAAGACCATAACAAACCATAACTCTATGGATGCCAGTCAGGCTCTGCAACCACAAATTGTTCCAAACAAAAATAAAGCTCTCTGTACAGACAAGTTCCACCAATTGCAGAAGGCTGCCACAAAAGTAACCAGGAGGAAATGTTTGTTGTGAGCACACAGAAGGGTTTCGGAGATCCCCTCAGAGAGCAAAGCACTGCCCTGCTGTCACATCAGGTGTCACAGGCACACGAGTGCTGCTCTGACACTGCACCTTCTCCAGCCCCTTCTGCACGAGTGCACACAGACCACAGCATGGATCTGAACCAACTCAGAGCATGGAACACTTTTTGCAATGTACAGATTCAGCAGCATCTGTAAGTGCCAATCTTCACTGACAACCACCACAGATCTAAGGGACAGTATTTCAATGGCAATTCACTTGTGTACAAATTATTCCAAAATCCAAGCAGTTTGTCATCTGCTTCTTCATCTGCACTAATTTCCAGTTCAACCCAAGCTCACAATTCTCTTGAAATTAAGGAATCTTTAACGTCTTAAAATTTTTATATACCCAAGACAGAAAATAACACTTTGAGGAAAAAAAAAATCCTGAAAACTTCAGCAACTGCTGCTTTCAAACAGACACATCCAAGAGGCCAGTAACTTCAGAGTTTGTGGAATAATCGAAGATACTTAAGTGTTTTACTTCCATATCTCTGTGTCCAGGCACACACATCTCTCACTGCTCAAAACATCACTACCTGATAAGAAGCCAAAACATCTACAACCAAAGTAGAAAAGGCACAGAATATGACTTCAAATGGTCACAAACATGAATGCAAATGTGGCATTATAATTCTTACATTTCTTGTGGTCAAGTTTTTATGGCCAGCTGTTCTTCAAATTACTTAATCTATGCAAAATGTCCCAACACCCAATTCCCATACATGAAATTGCACATAACCCTGGAAAAAACAGGTTTATCAGATTCTCTTATCAGCTGCCACAACCTCATTCTCGCTCCATACCAAGCAAAAGGCAGGAGGGTATTTGTCCAGTGGAACAAAACTACACAGAATTAAAGCATAAATTTGGAGCATAAAAGAAAAAAAAATGCACTTTTCTGACAAAACACAGTTACTGTTTATCACTGTGAAGCAGCATTTTACCCTCCACATCATCCTAATGCAGCACATAATCTCTCCACTCAAGGAAATTCACAGAAAAAAAACCCAAATGCTCCTAACACTTTTGTCCAGACCCAAACTAAAAATCCACCAAATGTTACTGAACTGCTGCTCAAACACAACTCAACACTACAGGACTGCATTAACAGCACAGCAAGTCAGCTGTTCTGGAGAAGCAAGCAGTCTCTGAATATGCACACTATCGTGGAGGGCCAGCCTAAGGGAGTTTAGGAGCATTGCTCTGCCAACGTTAACAGCAAAAACTAAAGTTAAACATCCTCCACACTCAAAACTGAGCAAAGCACACAGCACTGCTGCAGACTGAGTGCCTTGCTTACTGGGAACATGTCTGTAGACCTGAGACTATGTGCAGGTTTTTATTACAGCACCTCACAGCAGCAGGATGAAGCTGTCCTGCTCCTCACACACAAAACCCCACTGTGTGCCCGTACCCTCAGCCTGCCAGTTGTCAGAGGCTGGTTGTTTGGGAGCCCTCAGACACAAGGGGTTCTCTTTAATGCACACATTGCACACACACTCAAGCTGGCAGTGCTTTACCCAAGAGCAGCTACACACATGGGCTCAAGAGAAAGATTTACAAAATACCTGATTCTGCAATACTCTTTACTACCAGCACAGAATCTGGTGTCTCCAAATTCCTGCAGGAAGTCTAGTTACACGAAACAAATTATCAACACATTCCAATCATCAAGAGTTATTAATTACCTACTTCTGCAAATATACAGGCCAGTTACCATCAGCATGAGTGTCACAAAGCCTGAGTAACAAGAAATGGGTTCTAGTATGGCTAGAACAGAAGAAGTGGTTATAACTAAGTTGTGACATATCCCTTTCTCACCAGCTTAACTCCAGAAAGTTTTCTTGCAGACCTGCCCTCACCTTTATCACAGTACAGTTACCCCACACTATGCAAATTCTGGTAGCACCTCTATTGTCACCCAAAAGATCCAGGCTTCCCTTTCTTCTAACTTCAGGAATTTACATCCTTTAAGTGTTCAAACCACTCAGCATCACCTTCTATCTGTGCCCCTTTGCCTCTCTGAGACCCATCTTCCTCTTTTGCACCTTTTCCCTTTGCAAACTTGCTGTACTCCAGACACACCTGCAGGCAGAAGATTTTTTCATTCTCATCCATGGCTGAGGGAGGTCCTGCTGCCCCTTACCCCTGAGAGCATTCCAGCTGCCACTCAGCAGCCTCCCCAGCTCTCCTCTCACACTAACATGCACAGAGCTGCCCTGATGCTGCTGAGCCACAGACTGCAGCCACTTGGATGGAACTTTGTCCCCCACATGCAAAATTTCAGTACCACGGAGTTCAACCAGCATTTACCATTAATAAGTTCAATACCACAACTCTTACCACACTTATTTCCTACTTCAAAAATTCAAGGAAGCCTGTGGTATCTTGAACACCACTGCTCAGGAACGCTTTGATTTTTTTCTAATGCCACTATACAAGTTCTAACAGGGCTTATGCTCCTGCCCTCCTGAATACACACTGAAGAAGCTACTGCAGGATCTCCAACTGTACTGAATTCCTTTGCTGCAAGGGGGCAAAAGATTGTAAGGTCTGAGAGAAAGGAGAATACAGTTCATACTAAATCTTCAGAAATCATGTATTAGCTGTTTTACAGCACTTAGTACACCAAGATGTCTTGTAAGCAAGAGATAAAGAAAAAAATCCCCACATGTAAGGTCATTATTTTTATACCATGCTTAGAGATTCCAGCTGGACACAAGACATAAATAAGACATACTGGTGTGCTGGATTCCACCAGAGATCAACTCAGAACTACTGTGATCATATTAGCTTCAAGTGTCCTGCACACAGGCAGACTGATGGAAGAGCTAAATGCTAAATAGCATCATCCCATTTTAATCAGTCATTTGATTTTCCAGTTGCCTTCTAGGAGCTGGTGAAAGGTCATTTTTGCTTCTCCTACATAGGTTGTAGCTGAAGAAACACAGTAGAACACATACTAAATCATCAATTATCATGTCTCTTAAAAAGGGATATTATCATTTAAAGGAAAAAAAGAAAAACCCTAATACTCCCGACAAGAATTCAGGCCTTTACAACCTTTCAAAACTACATAAGGGCAAACAACCTGACAGTGCTGAACAGTAGTCCACACTGAGGCATAACTAAAATAACAATAATTTCTGTTAATCAACTTCTACAAACATTTGTTCCCATCAAGAAATTTCACCTCCTCTTTTTCTTGTCTAATAATAACACTGTTTAGAGAAGTGTCTCTATCTTTGCATCTTGCAGTCTCCAGATTTTTCAAGTAAACAAACACCTTGCAGTTAAGTCTGGTCCAGCTGTCAGTGTAAGAGCAGAGGCACTGGTGCCACCCCAGGCACTGCTCCCAGGAGAGGCCAGGCCCAGGTGCCACCCCGGGCTCTGCCAGCACTGCTGGGTGCTCCCACTCAGTGCTGTGCCCCTCCTGTGACAGGACTGATGTTTGTGCAGCTAAACCAGACTGGCAAACAGTCCAGATCAACATAAGAATTTTTACACACCAGCCAGGTCCTTAATGCAGCAAACTGAATTTCAGCCACAAGGCACACAGCCTCTGTTGGTCTGCAAGAAACAGCACTATTACCATCACACTTGGTTCTTACTAAAAATTCCAATTTTCAGTACATGTTGAGGATATCAACAAGGCACCAACAGACAAAACCTCCTGAACAGCTCACAGGAGGAAGGATGTTGAGTGAAAAGAATGTAATTCTTTCTACAAAACTTCTTTTAATTATCAAAGTGCACAGAGAGCTCTTTCAAGGACCACAACAATCCCAGTTCTGAGGTTACTGCCATCAACTCATGAGCAACCCATTGGAAAACAGCACAACTTACTGTGCATTAAGACCTAAACACATGCCAGCATTTTGAAGCCCACCACTATGGCTTTCTAGGCTATTTTAGAAGCACTTCATACCTTGTAGGGAAGACAGAAACATCTTTTAAGTCCTGAAGTACTGGTTACAACCTTTCACACATCACATAACCAGACTGTGGCATCAGAAAGGTCTTGTCTTGCAGACACAAAAGATTCCTCCTACTCCTTTTTTCGATATTCTTTTTTCAATTACAGTTTTGACATAAAAGGAGAAACTAAACCCCTCACTACTCTTTTAATTTTTTTTTTTGTTAGCTTAATTTTGGTCTACTAAATAAAACAATACTAAGCCTGCTCAATTTCTATTGCATGTTATGGTTGATAACAGTTGCATGAGTGCCTTTTTAAAAATCAGCAAGCATATCTAACCCTAGCTAAAAAGTACATGTTATCAAGATAAAGCCATGTATGCTTTTATACAGTCCTGACATCCACATGCTGCGAGACAAAGGTCTCAACCTCACTACAGAATGCCTAATTATGTACAAAAATAAAAATCCATGGTTGGAACAGAATGCCTCCTTCATTATGTGGTTAGTTCTGTGTACAAATAAATAACCTGTTAAAAAGGTTACCAGCTGTCTAGGCACTAGCTAGGAGGGATTCAATATGAAAATCCTACATCTTTGAAGACCTGTCCCAGGTTCCAATACCCTCACTCTCTGTTATACGCCCAACTTGTCAAAAGCTTCACAGGTAATATCTTTTCATCCATTCTGGTTTTAAGGGAAAATAAAGTCTTCTCCCATCAATTGCAGTTATCTGTAGGCAGCAATCTTTTCAAGTCTTTCATAGCAGCTTCGAACTCTGATTTAGCAGCAGGGTATTTTTCAGCAGAAGCAGAAGATGCTTCTTTCCCACAGAGAGGCAGGAGTTTACTGAGTCAGCCACATCACCTGAACTGAACTGCTCAAGTATGAAGGATATCCCTGCACATGACAGCCCTGGATCCGTTTAGGGCAAACCTGCTCCCACATGGAATTGGCACAAACCCCCATTCTACCTGCAAGGGTCACTTGAGGATACAGAATCTCAACAGGAATTTTGCATATGGGTGGAGAGATATTAATATCCAGTTTCTCTTTGAAGAGATGACAAAAAATACAAAATGTTTTACAGCAATCCAAACTTCAGTGTGGAATAATTCTAACACACCCTTTGCAATTCTATGACCTAAGTCTGATAAGGCACCAAACTGAAGCCAGAGATTGTACTGAAGGACACTTACCTAAAGTCATGATCAACAAACACCCTCCTCTAAGTAAGGCCATAGGCTTGATACTATTTCAAAACACATGAGGAACAGGACAAGGTTTATTGAACTTGATCAACTGGAATAGTGCTGTTAACTAAAATGGAAACCTGAGGAAAACAGAAATAAAACCTCAAATGGAGACACTGCTGTTGGCATAACAAAATGGGAATGTGAAAGTACACAGCCTGAACAAGTTCAATAATTAGACAGTTCTCAGGAATAAGCAGCAATATTTCTGACAGGGATGACTCCACCCTTAAGTGCCTCCTTTAAAATAATCAGATTAACCATGTAAGCTCTAATACAGGTCACTACCAGAAATAGTAAAGGACAGACCTGGACAAAGTTTGGCTGCCACTTTATAAACAGAGGAGCTATCAAGTAAAATGTGCCTTGCTTTAATTTCTAGCAGTGTTCAGAGTCAGAGGTACAGCGTCCCTGAGATGCTATAGCCAATACTGAACTTTGACAGTTCTACACACTTGTACTGGAGACAATTAACAAATCATCTCAGTGAGAAATGCCAGTGGCAGACTTCTCAAACTCTGAATTTTAGTCTACAAAACCTGTGGAGACCTACACAGTTCCTAAGCACATATGCTCCCTCACATCTCCAGAGGAATATTTCCCCTTCCCTCTAGGCTGGAGAGAAAAAAGATTTGTTGGGAATTTCAGAGCCAACTTAGTTATCAGATCACTTTTTAGCTACTGAAAGCTTCCTTCCCTACCAGATATTTCTCCATCCCATACGCTCAGCACCTCTACTCACTGCTAGACAGCTGTCATTTTACATAAACTATTGAGATATGCCAACAGAACCACAAAGAGAAGAAGTGGTGATTGAGCTCTGTGCTTACTCTTCCCCCTTAACAGGATCCCTGAACACCCAGACAAACCCACTGGGTGCTTTTGCTGAGTAAAGGAAATACCCTGGCTGGATCAGTATCATGGGGGTTAAAGAAGCAAACAGTTAAAATTGCATATTTGTTCTGCAAATCCAAAATGTTAAGACAGCAGCTTCTGATGTAGAGAGCCTCCCCCAAAAAAAAACATGTTTACCAACAACTTTATAGCCTCACCAGTCTTTGCATGTTACTACTGCTATTTGAAGTCCTAGTTCCCTCAGTACCTGCAGAGCCACTGAAGCACAATAAAAAAAAGATTTAGGCTCTCCTAGTTTACTGTACCCACAAAAACATCTGGAGGCAATCAGGAGTAAGGGCCAAGGGACTCAATTCAGTGGGAAGGGGGAGAAAAAAAAATCACTTTTGTGACACTTGAGAATTCTAAATGTATGTCAAAGAACTAGGATGGAAGCCCAGAGATGAGCTTTCTCTTCTTGGCTCTATCACCTGCTGCCCATTTGTTTCAAGGGAGCCACGTCTGTATCTCAGGTTGTCCCAGCCCATTATTTTTAACAGATGGGGAAAGCAGCCACCTGCCTTGAAAAGCAAGAAATTAGTCAACATCAGAAAGCACCAAGCTGCTCACAGACAACTGTAAACAGAACTTTCAAGAAGCTCAGACACAGCCTTTCATCAAAGCAGAAGTCTCAGCTCTGAGGTTTCAAAGAGCACTTTTCCTGTTCTTTTTGCAACTTCATATGCCACAAGTCTAATGGCATGTGAGAGACCTTTGGGACAAGTGACTGTAACAGCAGATTGCAGACACTGTTTCCTCATTAACACAAACATGACAACAGTGATCTAAGTGGTTTCTTGCCTGCTCACCTCAACCAAAGGCCTACAGCTAAGGTGGGTTATTTCTTTGCAGTAAGAATTACTATTAGAAGTAATTGCAATGAAAGCAGTCTCAGAAATAGATAAACACCACAGTACAAACCCTGAGCACAACAACTTCAGGTCTTACTGCTGGCTTACCTGGTAGCTGTAACTTAACAAAGAAGAAATAACTCATCAAATTCAACTGGCAACCAAGGGTGCACAATCATCAGACCTTTCATTTTATTGTTTA